CTTTGGGTAATCAAAGTTCATTTGGTTCTGACAGTGTTTTGGGTTCTCCTAGCATACATCAGGCGGCAAACCTTACTTCAGGTAACGACGCCAAAGGGGAATCCTCGCCCAACAATCATGTCGTCAGCCCTAGTACTGCTCACCAACTTCAGAGATTACCTTCAATGGATGATGATAAATTTCTCTTGTACCCAAACCTGTTCACTAAGCAAAGCTCAAATCTTATTTCTCATGCTCAGCCATTTATAGAAAATTCCATATCGACCCAGGATTAGTAAAGTTGAGTTCCCATTTGGCGTTCCTTTGTCCCCATTTTCTCTTATTTCATATTTTCCCAATTGTAAAATCCCCAAACAATCTATGGTTGTGGTGTTTGGGAGGTGATTACCTTCAATGGATGATGAGACATTTCTCTCGTACCCAAACATGTTCACTAGGCAAAGCTCAAATCTTAGTTCTCATGCTCAGCCATTTACAGAAAATTCCAGATCGACCTAGGATCGGTAAGGTTGAGTTGCCATTTGGCGGTCCCCGTTTTCTCCTATGTCATATTTTCCCAATTGTAAAATCCCCAAACAATCTATGGTAGTGGTGTTTGGGAGGTGATTCCACCGTTGGTGGTGGAAATTGGTGGTCGGCAATGGGCCAATGGCGTTTGAGGGTGAGGGTGGTTTGTGAAGCAGGTGAATAGTGTTATCTTTTTTATTTTCCTTTTTTGAGTTAAAATTGTGAAGTTACTATTTTACCCTTTATTGATTTGGTCAAAATAATTTTTTGGAGTCAATTAACAGTCAAATTAACTATTTTCATCCATTCGGACTTGATCTACGAATATTTTGAAGGTTTGATACAGTGGATGACACAAATCAAAAGTTTAGACAAAGTCTGAAAAACGTTGAAAGGTTTGGAGCCGTGACTGAAATTTTCCCTAAAATCAATCATTTAAATTATGACACTTTAGAAACAGGCGGAGTGTCATAATTCCAAATGATTTGCAGTTCAAACGGGAACCAAATGACTGATCCTACCACACAATAGAATCTAGCTACATTTCCGTAACCAGCCCGTATAGCATTCTTTACAGCATTTAATCCCTACGCCGCAACCCCCGCCCCACTCTCCTTTTTCGCTTCCCAGTTCTTGCAGAGAGGGAGAAGGGGGGAAAAAAATAGAAAAAAACAAAAAGAGAAGAAAATATGAACTTTGCCAAAGATGCATGAACTGATAAGCATTAACATAGGGTTTATTAGTGTCTTCTTCTCAGAAGAGCAAGATGAATTCCTATTCTCAAGAACAAGAATCATTTCTCCATAATCCATCTATTGATGGCCTTTACTGTGAGGAAAAATGTTTGAATGAAGATTTGAGAGGTGGGTTTGGGTTCCAGGAGTCGGGAATTGGAGATTCCGATGAAATTTGTAAAAAGCCTTTAGCTTTCTTATTTGAGCATGACCTTTTCTGGGAGGATGACGAGCTTATAAGTCTCTTTTCTAAGGAAAAAACACAGGCCCATTTGAGTTATGATGAAATAAAATCTGACAGGTCGCTGAAAATAATGAGAAAAGAAGCCATTATGTGGATGGTGAAGGTGATTGCCCACTATGGATTCACGGCGAATACTGCTGTTTTAGCTGTGAATTATTATGATAAGTTTGTTACAAGTTCTTGTTTTCAGAAAGATAAGCCATGGATGAGTCAATTGGCTGCTGTAGCTTGTCTTTCTATAGCTGCAAAGGTGGAGGAAACTCAAGTGCCTCTTCTAATAGACCTTCAAGTATGTTGCTTTATTGATGTTCTTTATTTTCAGTACCTTTGCATTATAAGTGTTTGTGATAATGCATGATATGGTTCTTTTTGTGTTGGAAACTTCATGTTGTAGATTATTGTTATAAACATGTTGGGTAGTACTCACTCTTAGAACTGTAAGCAGAGAGTGCCTAATGTCCTTATAAACCCACAACATGGGCCTTTCACTAGCAAAGTGGGACTCGGAAGTTGTAGTTATAATTACCGTGATAGAATTTTGGGCATTGATTAGTAGATGATTTAGGTTTTGCTTTGGTGTTTTCTAGGTGGAAGAATCGAAATATGTGTTTGAGTCGAAGACTATTCAGAGAATGGAGCTTCTGGTGTTTTCTACTCTCCAGTGGAATATGAATCCTGTGACCCCAATCTCATTCTGTGATCACATTGCAAGGAGATTTGAATTGATGACTAACCTACACTGGGAGTTTTTGATGAGGTGCGAGAGCCTGATTCTCTCTATCATAACGGGTATGTAGATCAGTTATTTTGATGCAACTGTTATGAATCAGAGGAATGCATTCTATATCATTTGAGCTGCCTTGATTTATATATTTGTCAATTTTGTATGCCGATCACAGATCACAGGCTTGTGCATTATCTTCCATCTGTTATATCTGGTGCAACAATGATGTATGTTATTCGTGAAATAGAACCTTGTAATGCAATGGAATACCAAAATCAGCTTATGGGTGTGCTAAGAATCAGCAAGGTTAGCTTTTTATTTTTTGAGTTCATATCTTATTTTCATAAATCGGAGTCTAAACATTTACAGTTTGTGTGTTAATTTGTCTTAAATTCTTGGTGTATAACAGGAAAGAATTGATGATTGCAATAAACTAATCCTGGAGGTAATGGATGATCATTGCCACAGACCTTGCCAAAAACGCAAACACAAGCCTATACTAAGCAGTCCAAAAGGTGTCGTTGATGCATATTTCTGTTCTGATAGCTCTAATGATTCGTGGGCAGTTGGATCATCGATTTCATCGTCACCAGAATCTATATTCAAGAGAAGCAGATTGTGTCTATAGGTGTGGGTAGCAGCCTCCATGAACTCCCATTCACTTAATTATCTTATGTCAGCAGTCACCTTTCATAATCTTTCTCTGCTATGTGTTTTTCTATCACAATTCAATTATTCCATGACATATATATCTCATCGTTTCTGGTCTAACCCATGTGATGGTTAGAGATTTTTTAACCAATTGATTTTATTAACTTCGTGATTCATGAGGGAGAGCAAGAATGGAATGAGCAATTTTTTGGATTTTTTTCTGTTAGTTACATTCACATGACAATTATTATCAATGAGATATTCTTTTTATATGTAGAATATAATGCTTCTAGCATACCTACGCCTATGGTTTGATCACAGACGGTTAGAGCCCTCTATTTCTTGAGCTTATACATAAGCTAAACCTCGTAATATTTTCTGATTTGCTTGGCATTAGGTTGCTTTCCTGGTCTTGGATTAAACCCCTGTTCTCCTAATTCAGTCTATACATAGTGTAGGCTTTGGTTTAGGTTCAATCTTATAAGTTTAGCTTGGTTCCATCACAAAATCTCTCATGAATCCCTAAAGCCAAGACTATGAAAGCCGGTTTTTGCAAGGATTAATGTGTGAAGATCCGAGGATAGGATAGGTGGATTTCACTCCATTTTATTATCTACGCTTAGTGAAAAGAATGTTACATGAAAGTTACTAAGCCTGGCATGGAATGGTTTATCTTCTACTAATCGTGGTTTTCTGCATGCTAGATGGAGAGATTGAAGGTCCCCAGCGCATAATGAAAAAGCAATCATGTATTACATGATTGATGCTAATAACTTTTATAGAAATTGATTGTAAAACTGCATTATAATATCATTTACAGCTCATAAGTAAAAATATGCTAGTTTGCTACCTATACAATAAAATTGAGATATTCTGGGACACTAATACTAGTGGGCGTAGTAAATTAAAGTTAATCCTTGATGCAATTTAGTTCTTTAAACATGGTTGGGAAGTTAAATTTGAAAGGCTCATGGATGCAGATCGAAGAGTGGTGGAAAATCAAATAAATCCCGAGTGCGAGTAAGGCCGGACAAAACTCTTGACCCGACTCGAACCGAGCGGTTATTCATAAATTGAATACCTGAACGGATATTTGAATCGAGAATCGACGGGTTTGAATCGGTTCTAGACCAAGAATCAAAAAATCGAATTTCCATAATTTTTTAAATTTTTTTGGCTCTTATTTTTTCTAAATAAATTTGCTAACTAATGAATTTAGCCCAAACCCAAAATACACAATTCCCATTTCTAATTTCCAGTTCAAGCCCAATTTAATCACCTAAGTTTTACCCAAATATGTTATTCTATTGTAGTGTCGTTTCTACTGTTTTGGAGAAATCAAATTGGAAGCTTGACTGCGTCTCTCTTCATTATTGTGAGCTCGTTATATTCCCTTACCTGTGATTTTAACAATCAAATCTATAAAAAAACTCAACAGAGAGGTGCAAAAGCTATCATGAGATTGGATTGCATTATTTTGTAAGAGATAAGATTGAACATGTCATTAGTTGAATTAATGTAGCATTATTGTAAATATTAAAAAATTTAATTATTGTACGGAACCCGAAAACCGAACAAATAAAATCGAATGGAACCAAACTCGAACAGTTCCATAATTAAATTTGGACTTGACGGTTCCACTTACTAAATACCCGAAAATTTGGATTTGGTTCGGTTATGTCCAGCCCTAAGTACGAATGGTTAAGAGAACAAGCTATTGTGCGTTTGTTAAATAGAAAAATTTATTTCGAGTAGTTTACAAAACGTTCATTTCAAGAGTTTTAGAGCGCCCTACCAAGTAGAATATCAATGTGACATGTGGATTCCTTCAGTGCCAACTTTCTACCTCCTTGAAGCCTTGGTGTGTGTTTGATGAGAATGCGAGGTAGATGAATTTTTTTCCTGTGTCATTTCAGCGAGAAGGTTTTCTGTACGGTACTCCTTGGGTCTTTTGCATGCTATTATTATATGGGACAGAAAAGCTAGAGTCTCGAAGGAAAATTGAGGCAGATTGGTTGTAGAAAAAGTTTCTGGCCATTGTCTGATTTAACGGTTGTTTTATTGCTAAAAACAGAAGCAGATATAGTGAAGTTGCTTAGATACTCGTAGTCAAATACACTGATGTAATGTTTAGTCTTCATATGTCTGAATAAACTTGATTTTGGTTCCGAATTATTTCTTAAGTTGAGAAAAATGAGAGGGTAAGGTTGATAGAGAATCGTTGTTGATGCCTTTGAAGAAATTTGTTTTTGGGATTAACTAAAAGATATCAAGGGAGAGAGTTTGGATGTGACGGTTCAAATGAGATTAGAAAAATTCTTGCAATCTCATCGCCCTCGGTAATGAATTTAGGCTTCTTTGAGTTAAATCATGTGTGTCTTTTTGTGTAATGATTAATATTCTTGCATTGTTTTGGCATTTTAGCTGGCCTATTAGTTTATAATCACTAAATTAGGGGCTAATGTGTACAGTTGCGATTGAAAGTGTCTCTTGTTCCTTTTAGTCCTTTGTCTCGTGCACAAAAAGCAAGAGGGGTCGAGCTTGCTCTTGTTGAATACGTAGTATGTATTAGAATGTTACTATAACCCTGTGATATGAGGTTTTTTAGAAAAAATGGTTTTATCTCTGTCGAGTCCATATTCTGTGTTAATTTTCATTATCCAAAATACAGGAAAAACAGGCGTTCTTTAGTAAAATTCATGGAACAGGTACAAAAAATGGTTGGACCCCTCTTTGATGACTTGAACTTGGTATAGGATGGCCATAAAGGCCATGGTTCCAAACTTCAAAAGGTTTGTGGACTAATTAAAGAATTATGACCTCATATGGGTTTAAATGAGTACAAGTTTTGAGTTTGCACCAGATAATTGAATGGTTGCCTTGTATACTTACTGTTAAAGAGGTAAATATTCGGGTTTTGCCCGAAATGGGTTCAAATAGTGGCAAACATATTGGGCAGTTTTTGCTACGTAGTATTGGATTTGATGCTGCAGTAGACACGAGTTAAGCTTCTTTCTCATATTTAATATTTGTATAGCCCAGTTTACTGATGAGATTGTTGCACAACTGGTTTGAACTTGATGAAAGAGCGAGCTTAATATTGGATTGACTAAAGTGGAGATAGAAGATGCCAACTCTTACCATCAAGAGTTGTAAGAGTTCGGAGTTAAAGAGCCTAGTGCTAGTGGCAAGCCACTCATTGAGGCACTCGAGATTGGACTTACGAGTTCAGCCCCACCACAAGTAGAATCTAGTGAGTTAAGCTACGGTGCAAAGAAAATTTTAACTCGGTCTTGATTATCAACTATCAAAAGAGTCTAATTTGGACAATTAACTTCACTTGTCCAAACAGAAACGGACTTCTGAGTAACACTTGAGGCGAAGCCCCTTGCTCTTGTGATTTAGTGTAAATTCAACTTGTGCATCGAATAGAGCAGGGACAAGTACAGAGCAGTGAAGCTTTTGATTCTGCATGTGATGTCTGTATACATACTATTTTGTTGTGATTAGAGCAACAATAATATTGATGAAGAGTATGAAATCGACGAAGAAATAAGAACGCATATTTAAGTGGTTCGGCGATGTGCTTATGTCCACGGGGAGCGGAGCAGCTATGATCTTTATTATGTATGAATAATATGATTACATCATCTATATATACTAACCTTAGCACTAGCCCATACAAGACTTTAGGGTCCATACAAGATTAAAGGAAAAATTCAAAAATATCCTTGTGCCGCACCCTAACGTATTAAGCATTCCTGTCAAACATACAGTAAATTAAAGTTCGAAAGATCAATGTTATCACTCTGCTCAGCATCGTTCCTACATCGGCCTATTTATTCTAGTAAATATGTGTTCCATTCTACACGAGCCACATATTACAACACTATTGACACCTGCGTTGAGGACATGAAGGTACATTGCACACTCTTGAATGCTTTGTTAAAAAATACGAACAAACAAACCGTAAAGTGAATTTAACACGCCATTGTGATGTTTGATTGGAAGCCTAAATGTACTCAACCTATCAGTTAATTCTCTTACTGGAGAGATTTTTAGTACAATCACAAACATAGCAAGCCTCAGCAATGAACCTTAATTCAAACAATTTAGCAGGTTATATCCAACAGAAGTCGAACTTTGATGACTTTGAAAGTTACAAATTCGACCCTAAAACACCTAGAGGGGGTGAATATGTGTAAATGCAGAATTATAATTATCAATTAAAAGTAACAAGTCACCTTTTAATTATTCTAGATGTTGAGTCAATCAAGTCAACTTTATCGTACGTTAAATTGCCATAATAGTAAATAAAGTAGTAATTAACACAAAATTTGTCGACGGAGAAAATCCTTCATAGGATTAAAAACTCTGGGACCAAGCTGTGACTTCCACTATAGACAATAAGAACTTACAATATGGTCCAATCTAGAAAACGTACTAGACTCGTTGATCTAATTCTTGCAATCTCCAAGATCCGCTAAAACGTGATTCTCTCACACTTAGTCCCGATCTTCTAGAATTTTCTATTTCCCGTGGATCACCAAGGACATCTTGTTCTTGTACTCTTCATGTGCTTTTGGTCCAACCTCCCTTAATCTTCAGCAACCTCTGAAAGCTATTAAGAAAGTATTTTCTTATTATAATTACAAACATGATGTTTTGGATTATTTGATTTTGATATTTTTCTCAACTTGTGGTTGATTGATTTCAAGATATATAATTGTTGGTTGATCTCCAAATGATGTTATGAAGGTAGAAAATAATGATCAATCCACTCTTTCACGAAGTGGGGCTTGGGTATTTATAGTATAGAGGTATTGATGGTAGTATACGATAAATGGAACTCTTAAAAATCGTGAACTAGGGTTTTTCGAAAAACACCGTCTTCCGAACGCTGACAAGCATCAGGTGAGCGACAAGCGGGTAACAATGATTCTGTTTTGGATGCTCGAGTATAAGCTTGGCGACATGCTAGCATTATTCTGCGACTCTTTCTCCTTGTTTCATACTTGAACCCAAAGATTTATAGTTCATCTATACAACATCCCAAAAGGCTCATTGACTTTTACAATTCTTTTATAAGAATTATTGTCTAAAAATAGCCAATACAACTGAAAACCTAACAACTAAAATTAACATAGCCTAAATCTTGCACCTGAAAGTTGTACATTACAATGAGCAAAATAAGTGTGAAGTTCACATCCAACACCAACTACTCTTAACCAAAAATGAATTCTAGCCTGTCGTGTGTAAACTACTGAACTCCCACATTAGATGGCAAACCTAATGTATCCATTAAGCTTCGGTTGGGGTTGAATGAGTCGGGGGTCGGTATAGTCTGCCGAAAGTGGTGTAGAAGAAATAAAAGCTCGTCCTCTACTCCCATTAGCATACAGTGTAAGAAAACCAGGAATTTGGGGGGCTAAATTTAGTGTTTGGAGGCATTTCAAACCCCAAATCCAGTGCAGTACTACAAGTATCAATGTCAATAGTTGAGAATTCCAGTCTAGTACTAAATCTGGTACTACAAGGATCAAATGAAGATGGAATCTGCTCAAGTCCTTGTATCTGATCAAGTAAATCGAACCAACTGGGCGTCTCCATGGCTTGATTAAACGATGATGTTTCTTGAAATATAGTAGGCATGGCCCGGACCAGCTGATGACAATAAAAAAGGATGATAATCAAGTTGATACCACGTTGAACGCTTTAAAGGTACATTTTGCACTTTGCCCGTACGGATCGTCTCCATGGTGTCCACATGGCAGTGACGGTGTACCACATGGCGTCTGCATGGCTAGAGGTGTAATGATTGGACGCGTCAGTTCCTATGCAACACGTGTATAGTGAAGAGTCATGGAACATTGCGAAGTCGCCATCTGGACCGCACAATCTAAATTGGTGTGATCTAAATGATTAGATTGATCCGGCTAAACGGTGCTCCTATTCACTTGAACCCCTTGAAATCTATAAATAGGGATCCCTCCTTCCATAAATTCTACACTAATCAATTAAAGATCAATTGATTTCTAACTCTCCTTCCTTTAAATAAATTCTATTTCTTTTATTTTGCTGAAATAATTTCGTCCAAATTATTTTCAGGAAAAGAATTCCACCCAAGAATAGTGTCAAACACTTTCATCCGAATTTTGCTGATAATAATTCACATTGTCTTACACCAACGGTCACATATAATTTTTCTAAGCTCCTAGTTCATTAAATAAAATGTTACTTACGATTATTACACGTCCATTAGGGGCCACCCTATATCTCATTGATCAGAATAGTTAAATTTGAACAAATAACTCCTCCCAACAAAAATGTGCTCCCTGGTAACAGTCAAGGCGAAGCCTCTTGATCTTGTGATTAAGTGTAACTGTGTAAGTATCACATAAAAGATCGAACACCAAGAAGTTAAAATTTTAAAAAACTACAAGAAAAAATTAATACTGATACGTAATACTAGACAAGATTAGATAAAAATTAAGTTACAATATTGTCTAGTCCTGCCATGAGAGGAACAAAAATAGAGAGAGAAAAATTGAAAAGTACTCCCCAGTTTGAGAAACAGGTTCAACATAGTATATAATGTTATACAAATACAGTGCTAACATTGTAAAACATTATTGTTAAGACATTGGACAGACAACAACAAAGATAGCATTCAAAATGTAGTGGTTTGTACTTGAACCCTTATAACTCGAACAAGAATTTATATGGATGGGAGACAAGGAGGTTCAGTAGTCTAAAACCAGACAAACTTGTAGTCGATCCCCGACATTGAGATGATCAGTAAGTCACGAGGGGTGATCCACTACAATGAACATCTGAGGCATCAGAAGTCCTTTGTCTTGATGTCAATGTGTTGCTAGCAGCAGCTTCAACCTCAATATTGATAATATTTTTCCTCTTCTGATTATCCCCCTTTGGCTCGTCTTCTGCTAACTGCTGCTGGTTCTCCATGATCATGGCTTGAGCTTCTGCTACCACCGATGAATCATCATCTGCAGCGTATAAAATCCTCTTTATAGCTCCAACCACCTGGGATACAAAATAACAATAAGCACTCACAGAGGAAAAGTCTTGCTCAATCCAATTCTCTTAAAGATAAGTAGAAAGACTTACTAGAAGGTTTTCAATCTCGGGGTACTGGCACAAGATTTCAATATCCCTCAGCTTTGCAAAGTAAAAGTCCCTCTCCTTCTCAAGACTGTCCACTGATAGCTTCAACTCCGTAATCTGTGACACAAACATAAACATAAATAAGCATCTCGATATTCTGAACTCACAGGCATCTCCATACTAATTTTATAGAACCTGTTGCTCAAATGCAGCGCGCTCTGCTTCTGGATAGACAGGAGGCCCTCCACTAGAAGTAGGTCTAGTGGCCTTAGTGGGTTGGTTTGCTGTGTTCACATTAGTTGCATCATTCCTCCGTCCATTATGAGGGGTATTTTTTGGGTAAGATGCCGCATTTTTAGTTGAAGGTTGCATTGTTGCAGATTTCTTGCTAGTTTCTTTGCCACCCTTGCAGGCCTCTCTCCTTTCCAAAGGATTGTAACTGATATTGATGGTAGGATGGCAAACAGACATAAAAAGCATTAACAGATCACGATGGCTATACCACATAATAGTTAATAACACTGATATATTTCTACATTCATACTCCAAAAAGAATGTTCAAGTTTCTGCTCTCATAAACAAAACATTAGACCGAAGAAAATGACAACGCCAATATGAAATAAAGATTGAATTGCTTTCTAGCACCTATGGAATAGAGAAGCATAGATAAGACAAAAGTTTTCTGATTCTAAAATATCATGCTTCATCAAGTTCATAATTTATAAGTATTCAAATCAATGTGAACATTAATTAACATAAAACATCTAAGCAATGAAATACAATACTTGTGTAATGAGATTCTCCAATTTAATAACAATGCGATACTCAATGAGACAATGGAAATAGAAAACAACAAAAGGGAGAATAGAGCTATATACTAAAATAACACTCAAGGGGAAGAAACGAAGTCTCATTTTACATGAGATATCGATAAACCTTCTTAGAGAACTTCAAACATTGATACCCATAGCAGTTCCTCAAGTGGGAAAACTAATGAAGAAATGGAAACGGATATGAAAATGAAATGATTACAAAATGCAAGCCATTCTAGTACCATTACCACTTGCCAAAAACAATTGAATCCCATACATTGACTTGAACAACAAGTAGCCGTATGAAGAACTTCTTTAGAAAGCAAAGAAATACATTCGAATAACAAAAGAAATACTATCCCAATTAAGTCATAGATGACGAAGACAAGATTTCCAAACCAGTAGTGACACAAATAAACAGAGAGTGAATGGTGGTAACACCCCAAATGTGCACAAATTACTCGTAGCTTCATTCATAAGTCATAACTAAGTAATTCCTAAATTTTCAAATTTAGACAAAACAGGCAAAGAGAAAAGATTAGAATGTTTTAGTCTGAAGAAATTACCTTCTTGCGAACCCTCCATTGACAGAATCGCAGTAATGCTTCATCCATTGCATAAATTCCAAATTGTCCAGAGGTCTTCCTTTGATTAATTTGTTCACCTCAATTTGCTGAACCATACAGAACAACATGAAAAAATCATTCATCCACCAAAAGAGTCTGGATAAAAGCATATATTTCAGTTACATAAAACCTATTTCAAAATAAGCAATTACATGTATGACTATAATTTTATTTATTTCTAGATTTCCTTGCGGAGTAAAATTGAAGACCCATGAAAAATAGTAAAAATGCAGAGAAATAATAAGAGCACCTTCGTGATCTTGAGTTTGTTGAAAACGTCTTGAAGGACCTTGTAATTCTGGATCATCTCATACTCGTTCTTGGCATCAAAATTGACTTTGTGCATTGGCACCATCCCAGGGTGAACCGCATCCATCAGCTGGCACTGAACCGCACCCGTACAAGACTGCAAATTTTCCCAGTATTACAACAGGTTTACCATTTAATAATTAATCCACCATTTTTCTCAGACACTAAAAAAAATTTCGAAAAATTTAAAACTCAGAAAATCAGTGTTAAAGGGGCACAATCCAACTATCAGAGCCCAAAAAACTCTGAAAAGCAATTGGATCATTAAAAGCTAAAATAAATAGTCGAATTCCAAAACTGTTATGTTCTTAGACGATCCACCATACCACAAAACTTTCGAACTAGGATTTGAATAGATCATACCTCTTCGACTTTAGATAGATTGAGATGGAGAGTAGAGTTGATCCAAGACAGAATTTCCGATCTGCCTACAAAGTACGCCGAATCCATTATACCGATGTTTGCTGCCGTTACTTTGAATATCTATTTTCTTACTATTTCAGTATTTCTGGTTTGAGTTTTCAGATAGAGAGAGAGGAGAGCGTTTGTGTGTGTGAATTTTGAAATGAGGGTAGAGCGGGACTTATTGTATGTATTTAAAATAATTGGGCTAGGCCCAGGTTCAAAGCTTTCGGCCTCAGCCCGTTAACTTGAGTTTTGCAGTATTTTTCAAAGTTTTTAATTGTTTTTGGAGTATTTGTCTATTTTTCCCCAAAAAAATTCGGTCTCCAGAAGAAATATCTCTTCAAAGATAATTTTAGAAACGAATTTTTTATGAATTATATACCAAAACTTTAAGGTGTGTTTGATTTGTTGTTTTCAAGCTGTTTTCAGTTTTCAATTTTGCAAAATATCAAAAACTTGTTAGATTGATATTTTTAAAAATACGTTTTGGAAAATACATAATCAAGTTTTAACGATTATTAACATAAAAAATTTGTAAAATTGTAGCAAAAAGATTTGTAAAATTTACCAACTTTAAAATCTATATTTTACTTGATAATATATTAACATAAAATTGTTCTGTTTGTCATAAATCTATTTCTCAAAATTCTAAATCAAACGTGTATTTTAGTTTTTGTTGTGAGAAATAGTTTTTTAGAATACTAAACCAAACGCATTTTTGATTATCTTAAAATAGATCCTAAAAATAGAAAAATGAAAATGAATTCAAAAACACAAAATAGAAAACCGAAAGGAAAAATTAGATAAAAGATTAACACCCTTAAAATTGATTAGAACTACAAAATTCCGTATTATTACATCTAAATTAATTGTCACTTTTTTGAGTTTTTATCACTTTTTTGAATATTTGTAACTTTATAAAGATGTCCCTTTATTAACAAAAATGACATTGTTTTAACAAATGTTGTTGTTTTGCATTCTATTGTGATAGGTCTCAATCAGAGTTTAACTACAACTGAGATTCTCTTACAGTGAGAATTAAACCACAGGTAGAACTTTTTTATGAAAAATATATAGAATAATGCTCCTTGTACAATGTTAGATAGGGAAATTACACAAAAGCCGGTATTTGAAGATTACTGTGCAAAACTCAGGTGCCAACTTTAATTAATCATATATCAAGTATAATTATGTATTTTAGTATTAATATTAATATTACAATTAATCAAACTCCCCCAATTCATCTCAATCTCATTTTCAGAACGTAAATCTCTCTCTCTCTCTCTCTGGCTGCCAGTCACCATCATTTGGGTTAGCGATTTCACAGTCAAATATCACCAACGCAAATCCATCCCAACCACTTCAACTACCCTCAAACCATAAATTTCTCCACATTTGACATTTCGTCTTTGAAGTAGAAGATGGATTTTTCTCCCATTTTCCGCTTCACAGTAGAAACGACATCTGGTGTTTTTTTTCATCATTTTCCTCTTCAAGGGGTAGTGATGGAATTTTGTGGAGATTTTAGGGATGGCAAAAAAATCCGACAAACCCGATACCCGCGGGGACCCGCCCCGAACGGGGAGAGGAAAACCCGCTTAAACGGGTAACGGGGCGGGGATGGGGCGGGGAATTATTCCCCGAGGCGGGGACGGGTTCCACGTGTCATAGATCAATTAAATGTGGTCACATATTAATGTTCATATGGGACAGTTCAATATCCACAGGTCACAGGTTACATGTAACTAGTATCAGAGTGCATAAGTCGCGGGTCACAAATTCAATAGATCGATCACATATCATTAATTTCTTTGACCTCAGTTATTCGAACCAGTGACAAATTCAATTAAGTTACATATCAATTAAAGTTGATATGGATCAATGCCTATAAGTCCTAGATCAATGTCCATAGGTCATAAATCAATTAAAATTGGTCACAACTTAATGTTCATAAGTCACAGACTAATGTTCACAGGTCACAGATTACATGTAATTGATCACGTATCAAAGTGCATAGGTCACGAGTCTCAAATTCAAAAGATTTGGTCACATGTCATTGATTGCTTTGACCTTAGTTATCCGAACTGGTCACAAAATCAATTAACCAGATTTTAACAGTAAAAATTGAAATTATTTGCTCCGGTAAGTACTCTATTAATTACACTAGTGGCTGTTTTTCAATGATCAGTTTTAAATCTTACTAACATTGCTAAGAGTTGCTGAAAAAGATGATCACTTACCAGCGATGCTCAGTAGACGTTCTCCAATGGTCTTTATATTTCTCTATTTATCTCCATTATTTGAGTGGATGATGTTTAGTTGTTACTGCGCGACGATTAGTTTGTCGCTCAAGAAGTTTTCGACGACGGTAAGAATGGGTGACGACTGGTAAGAGTGAGGTAGGGATGATTGTGGGTGTGAGTAGATTAATTTAAATTGATAATATTATTATTTAAAATTAAAATATTGAATGAACACCTGACTTTTGAATTTTTAAACTTAATGTCTGAAAATTGATTTGGTATAAACTTAATACCTGACTTATGATTTTTTTCCCATGTTAGATTATAACATTGGGTTACAACCTCTCACAAGGGAGGTGGGGCCCACTATTATTTTAATAGCGGGGCCCACCTCCCTTGTGAGAGTTGTAACCCAATATTGTAACACATATGTTGTACATGTAGCATAATAATATATATCCTTCATTCATCCGTACTTACAAAATTTAAACAAGAAAACTTTCCTAGAAAATAGGTTCAAATAAACGGACTTAAAAGCATATGCCAAAATAATAGCTAAACATGCTAACAGACGCGACAATATTCATATGTGGTGTGAGGCTTGGATAATGGTTTCCACTCCATTGACAACTTGTAGGCTTAACCACGTTCATCATAGCCCATACGCACACGTCTTCACTCTTCCACGTACCTATGGTTCTTCCTGCGCATGCGATGAGATTACCATGGCTTATCATTACCTTCCCCTTGAAGTGGACTCTTGTCCTTAAGCTCTACATCCTTGAGCTGGTTAATCAGATCCTTAGTATTCTCCCAGGTAGCCTCTTCTGCTAGTAAACGATGCCATTTAACCAAGATTTCTTCAACCAATTTTTGTCCTTTTTTCATCCAGCGCGTCTCCAGTATTGACTTCGACTTCAGCACAATAATGCCGTCCTCAGAAATGGGTGACAGTTTGTTGTTGATAGCACAAGCATAACCCAGCTTCTTTTTTAGTAAGGAGACGTGAAAAAGGGGTGAATACGAACTCCTTCCGGCAACCGCAGCTTGTATGCCACATTTCCCACACGTTGTTCCACTTTATAAGGCCCATAAAATCGATTAGCAAGTTTCTGATAACCTCTTTTGAAAATCGATTGCTGGCGATAAGGATGTAACTTAAGATAGACATGATCGCTAACTTGAAACTCGATATCCTATCGTTTCTTATCCGCTGCCTGCTTCATACGGTTACTGGCGGCAAGAAAATTCTTTTCAATTGGTTGAGTAAGGGATCCCGCGAGGTAAGACTTTGATCGACCTCATTGACGAGCGTTTTGCCCATCTGATAATATGGAATTGTTGGAGGCAGCAGACCATAGAGGGTGTTGATGATGAAAATTGTATAAATAAGATTTAAGCCAACTTAAAATGAAAATGAGAATTTTTTTTATAGTGATTTGCAAATTACTATTATAACCCCAAACACATGCTTTTTTTTTTTACTTTAAGGAGATATTTGAAATATGGAGTATATTTTATCTTTTGTGCCGTTTTCCCCCCTACTTTCTTCAAGGCTCTTATTGTCCTTTTATAGGGAAGGAGTTACATGCATACTCCATTTCCTGTCTTAATAGCTACAGTACCGAGTTGAGAAAGTACATCATTGGCACATGTAGATTGGTTAGTGAGCTCGGCTTGTCAGGTTATCATGAGTTAACTTTACATGTGGTTCCTAACAATTAATAAGAATGAAGCTAAGACGTATGATTGGTTGAATTGGTGGGCGCTAATGTAAGACCTTCCATATGTTCTTGTCGATTGATTGTTTGTACAATGTGTAAGGAATCTTCAATCATTATATCCCCTCAAACCTTAATAATAATGTAATCCGAGCTGATCTCACATATCCGAGCTTACATTTGCATTAGCTTAATGCCTACAACAAATTGTACTTAACGAAATCGGAGGTTGGATGTCAACAGAGGGCTTGAAAAGGAGTCATCCTTGTAGATGTGCGGTAGGCGGTGTTGTACCAGAATTCCGCCCATGGGATGAGATAAATCCATTTGCGAGTTTGTTGGTGTACAAAGTAGTGTCAATATTGTTCCACGCACCTATTAACCACTTCCAACTGGCCATCCATTTGTGGATGGTATGCTGTACTCATTTTCAATTGGGTACCTGAAAGCTTGAAAAATTCTTGCCAAAAATTACCGAGAAAAATTGAATCGCGATCACTGACTATGGACCTTGGCACGCCGTGGAGTTTCACTGCTCCGTTAACAAAATCTTCAGCGACTGTTTTGGCAATAAATGAGTGAGCTAAAGGAAGTGAGCATACTTAGTCTATCCACCACTACTAGAATAGTATCTTTACCATGTGATGTAGGTAATCCTTCAATAAAATCCAATGAAATATCATCCCATGCTTGACATGTAATGGGCAGTGGTTGGAGAATACCTGCAGGTGAGAGTGTTTTTGACTTGGACTTTTGACAGATGTCATAATCTGATACATACTCCTTTGCTGTTTTATACATCGATGGCCAGTAGAACTGTTGTGCAATGCATTTGTACGTCCTTAGAACTCCTGAATGTCTACCAATTTGTGAATCACGAAACTCTTTCATCAGTTTCGGCACCACAGATGAATTTGGAGGCACTACAACTCGATTCTTATAAAATACTAGTCCATCACTCCACATGTAAGGAGCACCTGGGTTGGAATTTGCTAGCTAGCAAATCTTTTGCATATATGGATGGTCACCTGCAATAGTTTTAATTTCATCCCATATTTGAACTTGTGGTATGGATAAGGCA